AAAACTGCTTGTGGTTTCAACAAACCCATCACTTCATCACAATTTCACCATCCAGCTATGCGCATAAACCATAACTACTTCAAAGACTGCCAGAAACCTTGGAGTTGTGATTGATGATCAGCTGAATTTCTCAGACCACATTGCTAAAACTGCCTGGTCCTACAGGTTTGCTTTATACAACATTAGGAAGACCAGGCCCTTTCTTTCAGAACATGCTACACAACTCCTTGTTCAAGCTTTGTTCTGTCCAGGCTGGACTATGGACAATGCTCTCATGGCAGGTCTTCCAGCCAGTTCTATCAAATCTCTACAGCTAATCCAAAATGTAGCTGCAAGATCTCTCTGTTCTTTAACGAGCCAGAAAGAACACATGTCACACCTCTGTTCATCAATTTGCACTGGCTACCTATAGCTGCTCGCATAAAATTCAAGACACTAATGTTTGCCTACAAAACCACCACTGGCTCTGCTCCCCTTTGCCTAAATTCACTACTTCAGACTTATGTGCCCTCTAGAAGCTTGCATTCTGCAAGTAAACGGCACATTATGGTGCCATCCCAAAGAGGTACAAAATCACTTTCACTGACTTTTGCATTAACTGTTCCCTCCTGGTGGAATGACCTGCCCAACTCAATCCGAGAAGCGGAGTCCTTGGCCATCTTCAAGAAACGGCTAAAAACATATCTCTTCCATCTTGATTTGACCCTCTAACTCTAGCACTTGCTATTCTAATTCTATTTTATCTACTTGCTTTTTTTTATTAAAAAAGAAAACAAAAAACAATTGACCCTCTTAAACTCGCTCTCTATTCTATTTCTATTCTAACTACTTGTTTTCTTTAAAAAGAAAAAGGAGTCTCTAACATAGCATTCTCTATTCTTTTTCTATTCTATCTACAGTACGTGTTTTCTTTTTATTTATTATAAAAATGACCCATTAGCATTCTCTATTATTTTTATAAAGACTTGTTGTATCTTTATTTATTATTAAAATAAACCTTGCTATGTGTACTGTGTTAGGCTAATCGAGACTTGTCATTACACTTACTCTTTTGTTAGTTTTGATTGCTTCTATTGTCCTCATTTGTAAGTTGCTTTGGATAAAAGCGTTTGCTAAATGACTAAATGTAAATGTAAACGTAAAGATATGATTCAGAGCAAAAATGGTTCATTCACTTAAAAGATTAATTCAACACAGAGATTCACTCATGAACAACATTTCCAAATAACAGCAGTTCCAAATGGTGATGCTGGCCCAGACACCAAAATATACATACACAAAAGAGGAATATATATATATATATATACAGTGGGTACGGAAAGTATTCAGACCCCCTTAAATTTTTCACTCTTTGTTATATTGCAGCCATTTGCTAAAATCATTTAAGTTCATTTTTTTTCCTCATTAATGTACACACAGCACCCCATATTGACAGAAAACACAGAATTGTTGACATTTTTGCAGATTTATTAAAAAAGAAAAACTGAAATATCACATGGTCCTAAATATTCAGACCCTTTGCTCAATATAAAACATATGCACTACAGCATAGTCTTACACAGTAGTGAGATCAGTTCATAACACTGTTGCAAAAACATTGTTTTGGCAATCAATCTGTTATCATTTACAGCTCAATGTCTATTACAGTATAAAGTTTATTTTCTTTATACTACTGTAAAAGAGATTTTACAGTAGATGAAAAGCACTAGAAAAGAAAAGGTCAAATACCAAAGAACTGAATATGAACACACAATAGAATATAGAATAGGCAGTCATCTCTCAGTTCTGCAAAAAATACAGTACATGTAAAAAGTACTTGGCTACACATCAATTCAACATGTACGAGTTTGAAGGTGTACAACTTTGCTACAGTATTTACTGTACATAGAAAAGTAAAAGTTCTCTCATCTAAAGTGCTGCTACTATGCAATGTAATTATACTGTATGTGTAAGTAGTATTGAAACCCTGTAGATAAGCCTGTAGGCCAGCTTTCCTCATGAACAAGAACATGGTAAACTATTGTGCTGTGTATATCATCAGGAACAAATGTCCTTTGATCAAGTCCCCTTCATTTTCTTTTCCCCTCCTCTTCCTCTTTGTCTCCCACTAGGATTCATTTTCCAAATCACCTGTTCTCCTTTTTTTATATCATCCTGAGATTCTGACTGGTGTGTCATTAGTTTCGCTACTTACAGTTTTTTTTCAACAGCTTACATTTTCAAAACTTTGCCTATTTTTTTTTCAAAACTTTATACACAAATCCAAGAATTACACACACAAAATGCAAAGTGCCTCACATCTCTTGCAAAATGACAACAAACACATCTCAAAAGCAAACATTTGCAAACACCTTTGCCATAATATTAATTCCTGTCAGATTTTTTTGTGTTACATAGAGAATTGTGTGTTGTGTTTTGCAAAAAGTGTTTTATGAAAATGAAAACCGGGTCCAAGGCTGAGAATCAGTGTATGGTTTTGCAGATTTAGTGTGTGGTTCTGACGTTTGAGTGTCAGGTTTCAGAAATTGTGTGACAAGTAAAGATTCTGTGTGTAAGCAGTTGAAAAAAACTGTAATGTTCACACATGGATAAATATGTGCTATTTGAGATCATACTGTGATTCTTGAGGTAATTATATTATGTGTTTGTGTTTTCTGAATGAGAAAATGGCCAGACCTTTGGAAAATGAGGGCATTTTGTATAGATTTTTTGCAGAGAACACTGAGTAAATTGGAACATTTGTGAAAACAGGTGAAATGTTTTGAGAAACGTTATGAAAACTGAATGAATGATTTGGAAAACTGGGTCAAAATGAATCAGTTATAGTGTGTTAGCAATCGAGAAAAACTGTAAACAGCATCTGTGGGATACGCTCAACTGTCCCTCACTGGTGGAGACAAGAGCAGCCTGATGGATGTATCCTGATCACTGAAAGCTGCTCCACCAACAACAGAAGCTTCACTTCTCGAATTCATGTGGACAACAGTGAAGAGCCACCTCCTGTGGAGCCCAAAAGAAAGCTCAGACACTTAGTCATCACAGTGTCACATGGAACCCAAAGTATATAAACACTGTTTATAAAACGGATGGTTCCGGTCCTTGATTCTGATTGGCTGAGCCACGTTCGAAGGTGCTGTAAATTACTCTACAGACATACTAGCAACCACTTTGTTGCAACCACAACTGATTCTGAGGAACTACATTGATTGGTGGAAGAATAATGTTTTTATTAATATCATTACACTTTATTTGCTCTGTTTTATTTTGTGAAACCTTACTACGTATTTGGAATAACCGTTTTATAAAAGCCCCAAGCTTTTAGTCAGCTTCGCGTCGTACCTAACAACTCCCCTTAGCTGTTATAAATTCACTGTAAACTACGGCTTCTTGGGGCTTATTGCTTTAAAGGGGTCATATGATGCTTTTTTAAAGATCATTATTTGATCTTGTATTTGGTGTAACAGAATATGTTGACATGCTTTAATGTTCAAAAAAAACATTATTTTTCAAATACTGTACATTATTGTAGGTTCTCTATGCCCCGCCTCTCTCAAACGCTTAGTTTTCTACAAAGTCCCTCCTTCCGACAAGCGCAGTCTGCGCTGATAGGCCAGCTGACCCAGTGTGCTATGTGGTTCCTGGGTTGTTCTGGTTTTTAATGCTTTGCTATGTGGTTGTCAGGATGTTTTGAGTGGTTTGCCATGCGTTGACATGGTATTGCCAAGGTTTTCTGCACAGCTGTTGGACTCCTCTGAGCATTTTTCATGCGTTATGCGTGGTTGTTGGTTAGGAGTGGTTGTTTGATTTGCAGTTGGTTTTAAACAGTTGGCTTTGGGTAGGTTAGGGTCCCTCACACGGTTTGCAGCTTGACGTGCTGTGAGGGCTTGTGTGCATCAGTGATGCTAAGAGCTACGTCACTGGTACTTCACAACTACTGGTAGGGTCACCCATAGTGGACAGGTCTCAGCTGAGATGCCAGACGAAGACAAACCACCTGATCCTGGACAGCAGCAGACTGGCCTGATGTTCCTGGCAGAAGATCACAGTCTTGTATATGGGTAAGTTGAACAGACATACAGTATATATAAGAGAATAATGATTATGAAATCAGTAAAGTTTTGGATTTAATTAATTAAAATATTTAGTGACGATTAATTGCTTTGTTTAGAGTGAATCCACATTAAGCACAGCTTTTGAAAGTGCTGAAATGTTTATATGCTTCTGATCTTGTCAAAATGGATTTAGCTCCTTTTAAAGGAAAGAAAACAAAATAGGAAAACAATATTTTATTAATATTTTGCAACCAAACCTTACTAAATGTAAAATAAAAAGTCAATGTACAGAAAAAATTAAACTATGGAACACTGAAAAAAACTAAAACTGTGTTTGTGTATGTGTATACATTTATAAAGGTGTACATACACTATTTTTAAATGTATGTACAACTTTATATATTTATACATTTATATAATTATACATTTGTCTTACTATGCCAATAAAGCCACTGGATATTAAATTATTTTAATTATATAATTTCTATATTAATTACATATACTAAATATACAATATTTTTAAAATATAAAATGTTTCAATAATGGATTTAATGAATAAAATTATAAATGTTTGTTTAAAAAAAAGAAGGTAGGTGTCAGTCTTGAGCAGTCTGTAATGATACAATATAATTTCTCCAATAAAAACTTAGCTCTTGTAATAATCGCCTTCTACTTCGTTCTACTGTAATTGTCAATTTTCCACACAGCTTACTATGGCTGTCATCTGAGAATTTTTGCAGATGACATGTCTCAGAACTGTATACTTAAAGTCTGCAGTATAAGTTGTGAAAAGGAAGGAAGTTAGCACAGTTCCCTGTGGGGCCCCGATGTTACTTAGGAGACTTATATATACTTATATATTCCTGAAGTATTTTTCCCATAGGGGAGTTTTAAAAGTCTTCCATAAAATCATCTAACTAGACGCTTCACACACACAAAACACTTCTATTATTGCTGTCTGTCATGTTTATTTGGATAACAGTAAGATCAGCACAGATGATATTGATACAGGTTTGATGATGCAATTTCCCTTGATGTTTCAGTATTTGTATCTGTACAAAATATTGTTTCTGTCAAGCCATTTAGATCATACAGCTTGTGTATGTGCTCCCTTTCAGTTTCTTTATTAATTTAAAATGGGGATTCACATTCACAGATAAGATCAGGTATCTGATGACGTGTCAGGCTTGAAAGTGCAGCGTTTAACACATCCAGCTGATTCACTGGGCTCTGCTCAGAAGTCAGGCCTGTCCTTCTTCAGTTTAGAGTAGTCCGTGTTGACAGTGAAGAGCTGTGGGAAATAGGTTATGGGTTAAATTATATAATTACATATTATTACACTAACAAAATGTACCAAATGGGACTTTTTGTAAGGTTATTATAGGCTTAACAGACTATATTAGCTAAACATAGATGGACATACAAAGATGGACACAGGAATGGCCAAAATGTCTACATGAATGTTGTTTTCACCTTGTACTGATCATTTGGCCCCAGTTTGTTCCAAGGCTCTGGGTTGTTCTTGCGATCCCATCTGTTGACAGAATTCAGTCAGTCATATACTCTGAATTATATTGGAATCTAAAGATTTTTGCCTGTTTGATAATGTACTGAAAAGGATTCTCACGAGCAGTCAGGGTTCTTTAGCGCAAGGCGGCCCAGGTAAAGCATAGACATGGCCGCTCCACCACCGATGAAGATGAAGAGAGGAATCAACTTCAAAGAGACACAGAATTATAAATAAATGGCTAAACAATGATAAAAAAGCTGAAAAACCAATAACCTGTTATGCAGTCCATAAAATAAAAGACTTAAATATATATTTAGGGGTCAAACCTGTTATCATCATATTTCAGTCATTCTTGAGAAGTGGGACAAAACAGGGTGCAAAATTGAAAAAATAAAACCTTGTACTCAGACAAATGAAACTACATTTATGTATCTTATATGTACTAAGCTACTGAGCTATGCTTTGATACAACCTCCCAACTTTTCCCACGTCTCAAGAATGACTGATTTGTTAATTCAGTTAAATAGTATTCAATAAAAATAATATATTCATGTTTACACATATCAGCATTCAGTTCTCTTCCTAAAAAGCTTTTAATATCAAATTAAACTGTAAAAACTGTCAAAAGTTTTGTGATTTAGCTTGAGCTATAGGCCTATATACATACATACATAGCCTACACATACATTAATGTTTTTTTTTTTTTTTTTTTTAAGAACCATTTTATAAAACGAAAAGGGGGTGT